CGTCAAGAATGACGATAGATCACCATCGTTTTTGATACTAAAACTAATGATTCACTGCACTCGTAGCATGAGCCTCTTCCAGTTGTTATCTACCACTTCTGTATATATCTCATTTTTCAGTCATTTAAAGATTTAATTTTAATAACTTTTCCAGTGATATATTGTCCCTTTTCAATGCCAACATTTTTTTTAATTGTAGTTGACACTCAGAATTTTTTTTTTAAAAAAAACAAACAGCATATGAATTTATGAGGAAATAGAACATGATGCTTCATCAGTTTGATTGAGCATTTATTTGGGACCGAGAGTGATAAGAGTTTATTTTACGTATTTTTTGTGTGTTTTATTAGTTAATTTTGGTTTGATTATTTAGTTTAATAACTAAAATAACTAAGGTTTTGGTAAAAAAACTACATTTTATGTTAAAATGGCTAAACATTGCATTTTATGGATTTTTATGGTAAAAACTTCATATTTTGTAGGTTTAATGATTCAATCATCAAATGAAGTGCATTGAGAAGATATTTGGATGATTGAAGATGGATTAAAGTGGTGAAAATAAAATATGAAGTGTAAAAAGAAAAAATGCAATTTGAATCAAGAAAAGTCAGGTTTTGACAACTCTGACACGTTTTGGTATTTTGACTATATCTAGAGCTACACAGATCGGATCAAGGTGATCTTAGTACCATTTTGAAGCTAAGAGATATATCTACATTTGGTATGAAGACATCAAAGTCCAGTTCAGCCGTTTTCATAGTCCAAAAGTTGAAATACCGAAATTCAACTCAGCTGTCCAAAGTGGAAAACAGAGCTCTGACCAGTGTTTAGTATTTCGATCATATCTCAGGCTACAAAGCTCAGATTTGGATGATTCTTGAAGCATTGGAAAGCTAACTCAAAGGGCTACAACTTTGGTGTTTTACAAAAAATCCAGTTCAGCCTTTATGATAGAGAAAATCGCAGCTGAAGTAAGGACAAAGTGAATACGCGAGTACACAAAACGTGACTTGTAACCGCGTTTTGTGTAGGCGCGTTTTCCGGCCGCAATTCTGCAATTTTGCTCAGTCAATTCTCTTGTGTTCTGACTACTTTCCAGCTACAATCTGCAAGAGAATTCGGTGCACATGCTTTAGAAGACAAAAGGGCAAGAAAGTTGGCATATTTTCAAGTCAAAAACAATGGCTATTGACTATCTTAACAATTTCAGATTTGGAAATCAAATGCAGCAAGTTTGGACCAATGGAAAAGGAGCTTTTGGAGCAGTTTATATAGGGAGCAACCAGGACATGCAGAGCATACGGGAGAAGCTTGAAGAGGCAGAAATGTAGTTCTTCCATTTCCTTAGTGTAGGATAGTGTAGTAAGTGTAGTTCATCCATTCTTGTATACTATCTAGATTAGGATGAAAATGGAGATGAAGAAAGAGAAGTTAAAGCTCAAGTGACATGGGTTATCTCTTCTCCAACTCTTTATCTTTTGTATTGGATTCTTAAATATAGTTAATATACAAGTTCTGGAATTTATGTTATTTATGTGTCTTTAAAGTTTATACCTTGGGTTTGGTTGAACTTTCTATGATTGTTAGTGTTTATTATTTGGTTATTTGATTGCTATGATTTGAGCAAGTTATTTAGTATTTTAGCTCTTAAAATCATGATTAATCTGGTACCATTAATTGTGATTATCTAAGGTGTTATTTCTACAATGAAAATTGAGATTTAACATTAGTTCAAGAAGTGCTAAACATAGGGAGTACACTCACGAAAGTAGAGGTGCACCTATGTGGTTTTTAGTGATTCATTTCATGTAATTTCACTGAAGAAATGAACTTATAGCTAATTTCATAACCATGAGAATATGTATGGATTAGTTATAAGTATAATTGATTCACTACGAAAGTAGGATTCAAATGCATAAGAAAATTACACCATAATTAGCCTAGATGTAGTACTCAATGATCCAAATATAACACTTGCATGAGTAGTTAGGGATACCACAACCTAAGGAGCTTTTATTTGTTAATTTCTTGTATAAGTGCAGTAGGTTAAATTTCTTATCATTCATTGATAGTCTAAATAATAGAGAAGCTTTAGTAATACCGGTAATTGTTCACTCTTCCTTATGGGATCGACCCGATATATACCCTAAACTACTAGTTGATCTGTATACTTGCAGTGAACGGGTGTAATTCGGTATTTTTTAGCTTGCATGTATGTAAAATACCCGTCAGAGAGCATCCATTGACTGAGTCGTCCGATTGACGATCAATATGCTTGTACAGGGAAATCCACTTGCAAAAATTAATGGGAAACTTTTGACCATGGACCATGGAGACTATTTCATTGTCCCTTGCATTATTGGAAGATACAGCATCACAACCATTCCTTTTTACATTGACCATTTGCCACTGTGAACTCTTGGCCTGTCGGCTTAGGATAAGAATCCAAGACCTTCAATGGTTGGTTAAAAAAAATCCGTGAATTATTTATTTCTCTTGTTATATTAGGAATTGGTTAGTACAAAGATTATTCTTATTGGTTAGTACATAATTGATCAATGACCAATATTGAAAAAATATACAAAGAAAACAAAAAACTGCATTTTTCATTAATTGTAGCTTGCGAGCTTTCGACAATAATTGTACTATCAAAGTGCCAAGTAAAACTCATCGTCTATACGACCAAAAAAAAATGCATATGTTCCCAAATTCATATCATTCTTGAATAGCTACTCTGTCAAATTCATAAAATTCTAGAATTTGATTGCTCATATAAACCACATCCTGTGTACTACAAAAGAAAGAAAAGAAAAAAAGAAAAACAGCATATTTTCTGAATTTTGGAACAACTCTCAAAATTTCCTTGATAAGAAAACCGACTCTTGAGAAATTTGATTGAGCATCATGGCAGAGTGTCGTAGGTATTTTGATTGAACAGCTCTCAACCTTGCTTTCCCAAGAGATCACACTTTTGGGGGGGCTTAAATCAGATGTTCAATTCATCAAAGATGAACTCGAGAGCATGAAGGCTTTCCTCAGAGAAGCTGAAGCAAAGGAAGACAATGATTCTCAACTCCAAGCATGGCTAAAGCAGGTTCGAGAAGTTGCTTATGATACAGAGGATGTTCTTGATGATTTTACCTTCCGCTTTGCTCGTCGCTACAAGGATGGATTCCGTGGCAAGGTTGGAAAGATCTATAACTCAATAAAGAATCTGAAAGGTCGCCATCAAATTTCTTTGGAGATAAAAGAGATCAAGGCCAGATTTGGAGAGATTTCAGAAAGGCATCGGAGGTACCTGTCCCAATATGGTACTCAAGAGAGAGGCTTCAGCTCTTCCCGACAGGCGAATGCAGATTTTGACACTCGTGCTCAATCACTCTTCATTGAAGAAGCTCAACTTGTTGGGATTGATAAGCCAAAAGCAGAGCTCATCTCAAAAATCCTTGATGACCATTCCCAATTGAAAGTAGTTTCGGTTAAGGGAATGGGGGGACTCGGCAAGACTACCCTGGTGAAAAAAGTCTACGATGACGCTGCAGTGAAGAAACAATTTCAGAGCCATGCCTGGATAACTGTTTCTCAAACTTTTCAATTCAGTGACATCATCAAGAACCTGATCCAATAGTTGTACAATGAAATCAGACGGCCGGTCCCTCGCCGAGTGGAATCCATGGATGATATTATGCTGAGTGAATTTGTCAGAGACTTCCTCCGAGAAAGAAGGTACATCCTTGTCCTTGATGATGTGTGGAGTATAGATGCCTGGGAAGCTATCAAATGTGTATTGCCTGACTGCACTACTGCTAGTCGTGTTGTATTGACAACACGAATAGCCGATGTAGCTTCTGCGTCCTGTTTAGGATCACTTGACTTCGTCTATAAGATGGAGCCTCTTTCTGATAAAGAGTCTTGGACTCTGTTTTGCAATAGAACATTTCAGAGCAATAACTGTCCTCCAAATCTAGAAGAAGTTGCTAAAAAAATACTGAAAAAATGTGAGGGCCTACCGCTTGCAATTGTTGCAATAGGTGGTGTTTTGGCTCTGAAGGACAACGAAAAGACACATGAATGGGAGATGATTCTTCATGGTTTTGGTGGCGAGGCAGATGGCAGTGGTAAGCTTGACAGAATCAAAAGGGTACTCTTACTTAGCTATAATGATTTGCCTCACTATCTTAAAAGCTGCCTATTGTATCTAAGCATCTACCCTGAAGATTATCCAATTGATGTGGTATCTATACTTCTGAAGTGGATTGCACTAGAATTTGTAGAAGAGAGAGAAAGAATAACATCCACCGATATTGCTATGAGTTATATGAAAGAACTCATCAACAGAAGCTTAATCCAAGTTAAATCCACATTGAACGATGGCAGATTGAATAAATGTGGTCTCCACGATTTTCTGCGTGAAATCCTAGTTTCAAAATCCAAAGAGCAGGACTTCACGACTGTAGCCACCAGGTATTACACAAGATGGCCTGAAAAAGTTCGACACCTAGCAATCCACAACTTCACTGATAATCCACAAGAATTTAGTAGCTTGAAGTGTCTTCGATCTGTGGTAATATTTGGGTATAAAGATCCTCTCACAATGGTTCGAAGTCTCGGCCGAGACCGAGACGACTCGGCCGAGTCGTCACCGTCTCGACCCCTACCGATACGATATCGTGACGAAACGATACCGAAATACTTGACTCGCCGAGAAATCGGTCGAGTCATCACCGTGACGGATTGACTCAGCGAGTCACACCGAGTCACTCCGAGTTATCCCGAGTCAAGACGAGAAATCAGCCGAGTCACACCGTGACGGATTGACTTGGCCGTTTCTTTTACTATTTTTTAATTATTTTTATTTAGCATACTTTTTTATATTATTAACAATTTTTAGAATATTAAATACTTTAAAATTTGCGTCTCACCGAGACCGCGACCGATATGCCGAGACCGATGTGGAACGTTCCGGGCCGCGACCACAACCGCGACCGTGACTTTGAACCATGCTCACAACTACATTTTTATCCAAGTTCTTAAGTGGTGATCCCAAGTTGCTGAAGGCGTTGGATTTGGATGGAGCTAAATTGGACAACATCCCAAAGCAAGTCTTCAAACTATTTCATCTCAGGTATCTTAGTTTTGCAAGAACTGGAGTTAAAATTATTCCAAAATCTATTGGGAAGCTTCAAAACCTTGAAGCTATAAATCTGAGACGGACCAATGTAACAAAGTTGCCTGTGGAAGTTCTAAAGCTAAGAAAACTCCGTTTTCTTAGGTTTGGCGGATGGGGAGATTATTCAAATGACTATGCAGTTTGGGGCTGTAAATGTCCACTTGGAATTGGAAAGCTTATTTGTTTGGAGGAGCTGTATGGTATAGAAGCAGATAGTGATAAAATAGTAAGAGAGATTGGAAGCCTAACGCAATTGCGGCGATTAGACATCACAGGGCTCAGAAGAGAAGATGGAAAGGAGTTGCTCTCCTCCCTCTTGAGGCTGACCAACCTTCGAGATTTGATCATCTCCTGTATTGAAGAAGATGAGACCCTTGATCTCCAACATTCCGTCTCTCCAAAACTTGAATTCCTCACATCTCTGTTATTGAATGGGCGTTTAGAGAGAGTGCCGCAATGGGTGACATCACTTCAATCCTTGAGAACCTTACGGTTGTTCAACAGTAGGTTGAGAGAAGATGAGAATGTAATAGGCTCCCTCGAACATTTGCCCAATCTGGTATCACTTAGTCTCTATGGTGCTTATGAAGGGGAGACATTATGTTTCAAGGTTGGAGGATTTCAAAAACTCCAGTGCTTAGAGCTTGCACAATTGAAAAGACTGAAATGGGTGAGAGTGGAAGAGGAATCAGTGCCTAGTCTCAGAAGTCTACAATTAGTTGGTTGTAAACTGATGCAGGAGTTGCCTGCAGGCACCCAAAACTTGACCGGACTTCAATTTCTTGGGTTCCTTGATATGTCTGATGAGCTGATGCACAAAGTACAGAATTTGGATAAACAAAGTGAAGATTATCAGACAATTTCTCATATCCCTCAAGTTTTCACTGGTCACTGGATTAACGGTCGGTGGGAACCCAAGTTCCTCTAAGAGAAGAGAAGCTGAAAGACAACTCTTGCCGTTCTCAATGCTAACTGGTATCCAGTTAACTCATCTCTTCAAAGTACGACGTCGCTTTTCCTTGTGTTTCGTTGAGTTCTCGTTTGCTTTTCCCCTTCTACTGCTTGTCATATTTGTATCAAATCATATCGTGAAATATCAATTCCTCAAAAACGTGTATGTGTACATATATAGATTTAGATATTTACCAAAAAAAAAAAAATAGATTTAGATTTTCTTTTCAAAGTTACTTCCATCAAACATAGAGCAGGTATTTATTCCAAGTCCTATATAATGCGCTGTTGGAACAGTTTACTTATAATAGTTAGGGACGAGCCAGAGAAGAGTTTTTAGAGTTTTTTCCATTGAATTTAATGCAGGTTTTGGATCTAGTCATTTTATCGGCTTCGGCTGTTAATTTTCTTCATTTTCATTTTAGAAATTTTCCTCTCCAAGATTTGAAACCCAAACTTTTTTGCCAGAAAGAAACAATTAGTCACTACTACTAGTAAGGTGTTCTTGTCCTAAATGTGGGATGGTCTCTCAAGTTTTGATAAGTCAAAAAGAGAGTAGTAAATAAATAATAAATTGAAACACTACATTCATCTCGTACATCAAACGATTTAAGCACAAAAAATTAAACCTCTATTTTTAAGTTCAATATATGATTGGGATTGATACACATACATCTCGCATATCTTATAAATTACTTCTTTGTTTTTGGGTCAATCCACTTTTTGTTTCTTCTTTCTTTTGCAAGTGTGGTCCAAGAAGGGGGAGTCAAGTAGTACTAATTCTTGTACTACTTTTCTTTTGTACTATATTAGCCAATAATGAAAATCATGTAACTGAGTTTAAAGATCATGAAAAATCATATAATTGAGTAACTTTAACCATTAAATTTGGGTTAAAGAACTGGGGTGAGTAAAGGGAGGCTTGCAGGGATAGGATAGGCTTAGCCTCTTTATATTGGCCAAAGATAACCAATAGAAGTCTTATAACTCATACGGTAATACAAATGATCTACAAGTAGTGATATAGATTATCTACGATGATCTACAAGTAGTGACATAGATGACCTACGAGTACCAAGCAAATATTTAAATATTGATCTGTCTAACGGATGCTCATAGTGTACTCGTTAAGATATGATAAGATATTAATATAAGGGGTAATATGTAAGATTAAATAGAAAAATTATATAAATATAAAAGAGAATAATAATTGTTAGTATATATATATATATATATATGGTAGGTTAGGTGGATGCTACGTGACGTTCGAAAAACCCTAATGTAGGACTTGGAATGAACGAAATAGAGCAGGTCTTTATTAAGAAGGCAGTCTTCATTAAGTTAATACTGAAGTGTACGAAGCATAAAAGATGAAGTTAATGAAATTAGTGAAGCTTCGATAACACCTTTTCAAAGTCCAAACTTGAAGGTTCAGTTGCATTTTTTTTCCTTCTAAATTCTCGGTTTGTATGCATATTTTTCTCAAATGCTTGACTATAGAATACATATGATTCTATTCTTCAGCTAGTTTCTCAATTGTGGATTTGCAAATGAAATAATTTTTCAAAAAAAAATAAGGGATATGTCAATAGAAAAACATGCAAAATAATCATAAAACTGTTTAAACTTATTTACAACTTATTGCTTTCTAATGAAGTGAAATTACAGTCACCTTACTCAAAGGAAATTATAACACTTTTCTCTATCACACAAAAAGTTGCAATCAAGAAACATATTTAAAAAATAATAATAAGACCACCGACTTGAAAAGAGAAATATAGAAAACAAAACAAAACCCAAAGCGAAAAAAGAAGGAAGAAAGTGAAGGGTTTCATGTAGACGATCATGTTCTTGTATCAAATTTTGCCATGATTTATCCATTTTTCGTTGGCAATTTAAATGTGCCAAATTCGTACACTTCAAGATTGTAAGAATTTGATTGTCATTCTCATGACAATCTCAAGATTGTCATTCCATGCCAAATTTCTCCTCTGCCGCTGGTTTTATTTAGCCTCATAGATATAATTTTTAGAGACAATTAATTGGAACAACACAAAATGGAATTCTAAATTACCCAAGAATGTATTGTTGGATTGTCTGTGAGAGATACCTTTTTTTTCCCAACTTAGTAAACCAAAATTTCATCTATGTCATGCAAAGCATAAATGGATATTTATTCTTATTTAGAAAGTGCACGTGCTCCAAACTTGTCTGAATTATGATCAACTAAGATTAGCTATTTTGATTTTATGAAATCAAAGTATAATGAATAAATAATAACATTACAATTAAAAAAAAAAGCAAATTTCATGGAATTAAAAGATGATAAACCAAAATTGATGGAATGACATTGCCCGAGCTATGGTTTGATTGAGTAAGGTGTCTAAATAATAGAGAAGCTTTAGTAATACCGGTAATTGTTCACTCTTCCTTATGGGATCGACCCGATATATACCCTAAACTACTAGTTGATCTGTATACTTGCAGTGAACGGGTGTAATTCGGTATTTTTTAGCTTGCATGTATGTAAAATACCCGTCAGAGAGCATCCATTGACTGAGTCGTCCGATTGACGATCAATATGCTTGTACAGGGAAATCCACTTGCAAAAATTAATGGGAAACTTTTGACCATGGACCATGGAGACTATTTCATTGTCCCTTGCATTATTGGAAGATACAGCATCACAACCATTCCTTTTTACATTGACCATTTGCCACTGTGAACTCTTGGCCTGTCGGCTTAGGATAAGAATCCAAGACCTTCAATGGTTGGTTAAAAAAATCCGTGAATTATTTATTTCTCTTGTTATATTAGGAATTGGTTAGTACAAAGATTATTCTTATTGGTTAGTACATAATTGATCAATGACCAATATTGAAAAAATATACAAAGAAAACAAAAAACTGCATTTTTCATTAATTGTAGCTTGCGAGCTTTCGACAATAATTGTACTATCAAAGTGCCAAGTAAAACTCATCGTCTATACGACCAAAAAAAAATGCATATGTTCCCAAATTCATATCATTCTTGAATAGCTACTCTGTCAAATTCATAAAATTCTAGAATTTGATTGCTCATATAAACCACATCCTGTGTACTACAAAAGAAAGAAAAGAAAAAAAGAAAAACAGCATATTTTCTGAATTTTGGAACAACTCTCAAAATTTCCTTGATAAGAAAACCGACTCTTGAGAAATTTGATTGAGCATCATGGCAGAGTGTCGTAGGTATTTTGATTGAACAGCTCTCAACCTTGCTTTCCCAAGAGATCACACTTTTGGGGGGCTTAAATCAGATGTTCAATTCATCAAAGATGAACTCGAGAGCATGAAGGCTTTCCTCAGAGAAGCTGAAGCAAAGGAAGACAATGATTCTCAACTCCAAGCATGGCTAAAGCAGGTTCGAGAAGTTGCTTATGATACAGAGGATGTTCTTGATGATTTTACCTTCCGCTTTGCTCGTCGCTACAAGGATGGATTCCGTGGCAAGGTTGGAAAGATCTATAACTCAATAAAGAATCTGAAAGGTCGCCATCAAATTTCTTTGGAGATAAAAGAGATCAAGGCCAGATTTGGAGAGATTTCAGAAAGGCATCGGAGGTACCTGTCCCAATATGGTACTCAAGAGAGAGGCTTCAGCTCTTCCCGACAGGCGAATGCAGATTTTGACACTCGTGCTCAATCACTCTTCATTGAAGAAGCTCAACTTGTTGGGATTGATAAGCCAAAAGCAGAGCTCATCTCAAAAATCCTTGATGACCATTCCCAATTGAAAGTAGTTTCGGTTAAGGGAATGGGGGGACTCGGCAAGACTACCCTGGTGAAAAAAGTCTACGATGACGCTGCAGTGAAGAAACAATTTCAGAGCCATGCCTGGATAACTGTTTCTCAAACTTTTCAATTCAGTGACATCATCAAGAACCTGATCCAATAGTTGTACAATGAAATCAGACGGCCGGTCCCTCGCCGAGTGGAATCCATGGATGATATTATGCTGAGTGAATTTGTCAGAGACTTCCTCCGAGAAAGAAGGTACATCCTTGTCCTTGATGATGTGTGGAGTATAGATGCCTGGGAAGCTATCAAATGTGTATTGCCTGACTGCACTACTGCTAGTCGTGTTGTATTGACAACACGAATAGCCGATGTAGCTTCTGCGTCCTGTTTAGGATCACTTGACTTCGTCTATAAGATGGAGCCTCTTTCTGATAAAGAGTCTTGGACTCTGTTTTGCAATAGAACATTTCAGAGCAATAACTGTCCTCCAAATCTAGAAGAAGTTGCTAAAAAAATACTGAAAAAATGTGAGGGCCTACCGCTTGCAATTGTTGCAATAGGTGGTGTTTTGGCTCTGAAGGACAACGAAAAGACACATGAATGGGAGATGATTCTTCATGGTTTTGGTGGCGAGGCAGATGGCAGTGGTAAGCTTGACAGAATCAAAAGGGTACTCTTACTTAGCTATAATGATTTGCCTCACTATCTTAAAAGCTGCCTATTGTATCTAAGCATCTACCCTGAAGATTATCCAATTGATGTGGTATCTATACTTCTGAAGTGGATTGCACTAGAATTTGTAGAAGAGAGAGAAAGAATAACATCCACCGATATTGCTATGAGTTATATGAAAGAACTCATCAACAGAAGCTTAATCCAAGTTAAATCCACATTGAACGATGGCAGATTGAATAAATGTGGTCTCCACGATTTTCTGCGTGAAATCCTAGTTTCAAAATCCAAAGAGCAGGACTTCACGACTGTAGCCACCAGGTATTACACAAGATGGCCTGAAAAAGTTCGACACCTAGCAATCCACAACTTCACTGATAATCCACAAGAATTTAGTAGCTTGAAGTGTCTTCGATCTGTGGTAATATTTGGGTATAAAGATCCTCTCACAATGGTTCGAAGTCTCGGCCGAGACCGAGACGACTCGGCCGAGTCGTCACCGTCTCGACCCCTACCGATACGATATCGTGACGAAACGATACCGAAATACTTGACTCGCCGAGAAATCGGTCGAGTCATCACCGTGACGGATTGACTCAGCGAGTCACACCGAGTCACTCCGAGTTATCCCGAGTCAAGACGAGAAATCAGCCGAGTCACACCGTGACGGATTGACTTGGCCGTTTCTTTTACTATTTTTTAATTATTTTTATTTAGCATACTTTTTTATATTATTAACAATTTTTAGAATATTAAATACTTTAAAATTTGCGTCTCACCGAGACCGCGACCGATATGCCGAGACCGATGTGGAACGTTCCGGCCGCGACCACAACCGCGACCGTGACTTTGAACCATGCTCACAACTACATTTTTATCCAAGTTCTTAAGTGGTGATCCCAAGTTGCTGAAGGCGTTGGATTTGGATGGAGCTAAATTGGACAACATCCCAAAGCAAGTCTTCAAACTATTTCATCTCAGGTATCTTAGTTTTGCAAGAACTGGAGTTAAAATTATTCCAAAATCTATTGGGAAGCTTCAAAACCTTGAAGCTATAAATCTGAGACGGACCAATGTAACAAAGTTGCCTGTGGAAGTTCTAAAGCTAAGAAAACTCCGTTTTCTTAGGTTTGGCGGATGGGGAGATTATTCAAATGACTATGCAGTTTGGGGCTGTAAATGTCCACTTGGAATTGGAAAGCTTATTTGTTTGGAGGAGCTGTATGGTATAGAAGCAGATAGTGATAAAATAGTAAGAGAGATTGGAAGCCTAACGCAATTGCGGCGATTAGACATCACAGGGCTCAGAAGAGAAGATGGAAAGGAGTTGCTCTCCTCCCTCTTGAGGCTGACCAACCTTCGAGATTTGATCATCTCCTGTATTGAAGAAGATGAGACCCTTGATCTCCAACATTCCGTCTCTCCAAAACTTGAATTCCTCACATCTCTGTTATTGAATGGGCGTTTAGAGAGAGTGCCGCAATGGGTGACATCACTTCAATCCTTGAGAACCTTACGGTTGTTCAACAGTAGGTTGAGAGAAGATGAGAATGTAATAGGCTCCCTCGAACATTTGCCCAATCTGGTATCACTTAGTCTCTATGGTGCTTATGAAGGGGAGACATTATGTTTCAAGGTTGGAGGATTTCAAAAACTCCAGTGCTTAGAGCTTGCACAATTGAAAAGACTGAAATGGGTGAGAGTGGAAGAGGAATCAGTGCCTAGTCTCAGAAGTCTACAATTAGTTGGTTGTAAACTGATGCAGGAGTTGCCTGCAGGCACCCAAAACTTGACCGGACTTCAATTTCTTGGGTTCCTTGATATGTCTGATGAGCTGATGCACAAAGTACAGAATTTGGATAAACAAAGTGAAGATTATCAGACAATTTCTCATATCCCTCAAGTTTTCACTGGTCACTGGATTAACGGTCGGTGGAACCCAAGTTCCTCTAAGAGAAGAGAAGCTGAAAGACAACTCTTGCCGTTCTCAATGCTAACTGGTATCCAGTTAACTCATCTCTTCAAAGTACGACGTCGCTTTTCCTTGTGTTTCGTTGAGTTCTCGTTTGCTTTTCCCCTTCTACTGCTTGTCATATTTGTATCAAATCATATCGTGAAATATCAATTCCTCAAAAACGTGTATGTGTACATATATAGATTTAGATATTTACCAAAAAAAAAAAATAGATTTAGATTTTCTTTTCAAAGTTACTTCCATCAAACATAGAGCAGGTATTTATTCCAAGTCCTATATAATGCGCTGTTGGAACAGTTTACTTATAATAGTTAGGGACGAGCCAGAGAAGAGTTTTTAGAGTTTTTTCCATTGAATTTAATGCAGGTTTTGGATCTAGTCATTTTATCGGCTTCGGCTGTTAATTTTCTTCATTTTCATTTTAGAAATTTTCCTCTCCAAGATTTGAAACCCAAACTTTTTTGCCAGAAAGAAACAATTAGTCACTACTACTAGTAAGGTGTTCTTGTCCTAAATGTGGGATGGTCTCTCAAGTTTTGATAAGTCAAAAAGAGAGTAGTAAATAAATAATAAATTGAAACACTACATTCATCTCGTACATCAAACGATTTAAGCACAAAAAATTAAACCTCTATTTTTAAGTTCAATATATGATTGGGATTGATACACATACATCTCGCATATCTTATAAATTACTTCTTTGTTTTTGGGTCAATCCACTTTTTGTTTCTTCTTTCTTTTGCAAGTGTGGTCCAAGAAGGGGGAGTCAAGTAGTACTAATTCTTGTACTACTTTTCTTTTGTACTATATTAGCCAATAATGAAAATCATGTAACTGAGTTTAAAGATCATGAAAAATCATATAATTGAGTAACTTTAACCATTAAATTTGGGTTAAAGAACTGGGGTGAGTAAAGGGAGGCTTGCAGGGATAGGATAGGCTTAGCCTCTTTATATTGGCCAAAGATAACCAATAGAAGTCTTATAACTCATACGGTAATACAAATGATCTACAAGTAGTGATATAGATTATCTACGATGATCTACAAGTAGTGACATAGATGACCTACGAGTACCAAGCAAATATTTAAATATTGATCTGTCTAACGGATGCTCATAGTGTACTCGTTAAGATATGATAAGATATTAATATAAGGGGTAATATGTAAGATTAAATAGAAAAATTATATAAATATAAAAGAGAATAATAATTGTTAGTATATATATATATATATATATGGTAGGTTAGGTGGATGCTACGTGACGTTCGAAAAACCCTAATGTAGGACTTGGAATGAACGAAATAGAGCAGGTCTTTATTAAGAAGGCAGTCTTCATTAAGTTAATACTGAAGTGTACGAAGCATAAAAGATGAAGTTAATGAAATTAGTGAAGCTTCGATAACACCTTTTCAAAGTCCAAACTTGAAGGTTCAGTTGCATTTTTTTTCCTTCTAAATTCTCGGTTTGTATGCATATTTTTCTCAAATGCTTGACTATAGAATACATATGATTCTATTCTTCAGCTAGTTTCTCAATTGTGGATTTGCAAATGAAATAATTTTTCAAAAAAAAAAAGGGATATGTCAATAGAAAAACATGCAAAATAATCATAAAACTGTTTAAACTTATTTACAACTTATTGCTTTCTAATGAAGTGAAATTACAGTCACCTTACTCAAAGGAAATTATAACACTTTTCTCTATCACACAAAAAGTTGCATCAAGAAACATATAAAAAATAATAATAAGACCACCGACTTGAAAAGAGAAATATAGAAAACAAAACAAAACCCAAAGCAAAAAAAGAAGGAAGAAAGTGAAGGGTTTCATGTAGACGATCATGTTCTTGTATCAAATTTTGCCATGATTTATCCATTTTTCGTTGGCAATTTAAATGTGCCAAATTCGTACACTTCAAGATTGTAAGAATTTGATTGTCATTCTCATGACAATCTCAAGATTGTCTTTCCATGCCAATTTCTCCTCTGCCGCTGGTTTTATTTAGCCTCATAGCTATAATTTTTAGAGACAATTAATTGGAACAACACAAAATGGAATTCAGAATTACCAAAGAATGTATTGTTGGATTGTCTGTGAGAGATACCTTTTTTTCCAACTTAGCAAACCAAAATTTCATCTATGTCATTCAAAGCATAACAGGATATTTATTCTTATTTAGAAAGTGCACGTGCTCCAAACTTGTCTGAATTATGATCAACTAAGATTAGCTATTTTGATTTTATGAAATCAAAGTATAATGAATAAATAATAACATTACAAGTGTAAAAAAAAAACAAATTTCATGGAATTAAAAGATGATAAACCAAAATTGATGGAATGACATTGCCCGAGCTATGGTTTGATTGAGTAAGGTGTCCTCATGGCTTCTACTTTTTAATCCTCCTAACAATTATTGCTACATTTTAATTGTCATCGAGGATTTTTCTTAGTGATTTTGTGAAATGTAAGGGATGAAAAAATTCATTTTATTAAATGTGAAGGACTATCAATCAGATTATGTGAAATATGATTTGACAATTTTTCCCTCAAACATGATCACATGCAGGGCACGTGGTGAATTCCGGAAAAAATTAGTTGGAAACCTAGGTAGGGACAAAATTTAACTGATATGAATTTATAAAAGACGTAAAATCAATTTTTTAGAATGCGAGACGGAAAAAAATCATTTTACAAAAATGTGAGTAACGATTTCAACGATTTTCCCTATCAATTATATTAATTGCATTGTCCGGATTCGTTGTACCAAATGCCTATGAGTACAGCTTCTACCAGTATACGATGAATATATAAAAAGAAAATAATGTTGTTCTTTTCATTTTTTCCTAGCACATTGTAATGTTTCCTATATATATAAAAAGGAGTTTGTAAGTGATTGTTGAAAAATTTTCATCTATTATCTTTAGAGATAATTTAGGTAGGAAAAAAATCAAATACAAGTGATTAAGCCAAACGTGCAACATTATAATGTATAGTTGAGTTGGGTTTGACTATTGTGTCCTCCCATTTACAATTGGCTTATATTCCACATGATTATCAAGCATTTAAGTGGTGTTTCAACCACTTACAAATGTAATTGCAATACTCTCCATCTTCTTTTATAATTGTTGGATAACTTTTATAACTACAATAATAGAGGGTCGTAATGCTAAAGATAATTGGTTCAGGAAACACTTAATAATGAACATGATTGATTTTGGTTCATATTTTCAATTCATTACAAGTATAATTGTAGTGCTCTTCAACTATAATAATTGAGGCTTTTAATACTGAAGAATGTTGCTTCAAGTGCATGTGCTCAAATTTTTTTTGTGGGTGTTTAGACAGGTATGCTCATTTACTTTCTCTTTTTCTGGAGTTTTGGATGTTTAGCTAATATAATAAAAATTGTGAGTTTTCTACTGCAATATTTTCTCAATAGCTATTGTGTGAATATGGAAATTTCATTATGGAATACTTGATACATACATATGAATATCCATAGGAAACTTTTTACATCTTCTAACTATATTTCCAAAATCCGATGTTTGTGACTGCAGGTGGTTAAACTGCGACTAAAGATTACTATTGACTACAATTTCATGACCAAGGTAGGATCTAAATTTAACCTTATAATTTAAGCATGCTAATTGTTGATTGGATATGGCCATGATTGTGTTATAGGCATAGGGACAAGGATAATGATATTATTGTTATTGTTATTGTGGTATGGTGTGATTATCTACTA